ATGGGGATGATACTCTTGAGCTCGGAGGAAAGGGAAAAGAACACTTTCGAAGGGAACAGGGACATATTCCTGGGATCACTGAAGGACGATGCTTGGCAGGAGTTCTTGGAAGAATTCAATCAGGAAGTGGGCAGCGAGACGACGCTGGACAAATTCAAGGAGGAACTGTGGGACACAGTCGTAAGATTTGGAGAACCGCTTCTGATAGGAACGGGCCTGGATGAGAAGGCGAGAAAAGAGCTACTGAGCAAGCTGGTAGAGCTGAGGAATTCACGATCTAAGACTAGAGAAGAAAAATGTGAGGACAGCTCTACTCGGAGACAAAAAACTGTAGATAAAATGGTTGATAAGGTTGGGACTAGTAATATGATTAAAAGTACTAATATCCTTAAGGCTCGAGCAGGGGGGAGGCAAGAGTTGGAAGGAGTGGATGGAGAGGTCGAATCAGTGATGGTAGCCACAACACCCTCAAGTAGAGATGTGAAGACTCGCAAGAGGAAGAGAGAAGTGGAAGGATTGGGTAGTCCTTCAGTGGATGCTGTTTCGGAAGGAAACTTGAGAGAGACGGCGCCCATGGTTTTGGCTAGATGCAAAACGGCGGCCTACAAGAGCAGCTCGGAGCTCAGAAGACCACTTGAAGTAGAGAGGGAAATAGAGGTTTCCACCAGTTCGACATCGGAGGAAGACTTCAAACCTCAAAAGATAAACGTGAAGAGAGGTTCAACGAACGGACAGACATGGGAAGTAGATGTCGACAAAGAATGGATCTCGAAGGCACACCAGGCCACGGGCAAGCGAGTGACAAGTGATCCATTGGAAAGGAACAAGACGAGGAACACCTCCCGGACGTGGTGGGTGGCTCTTGAAACATTGAAAGAAATGGAGGACTGCTGGAAGAAGTTGGACAGTGGAGTAGCTCGCAAGCGACGTAATTGGGCCACCCAGCAAAAGGCCGAGGTTAATAGAATAGAAATGGCAAATCATCTGAAGAGGTCCTGGCAGAGTTTGTTGAAGGATCATTTTGAAGAAGCAATGAGGACACCCTCATCAGCACCACCATTAATGGCGAATCCCTTCGTTAGAACTGCAGGACAATTAATGTTCACCTGGAGTCTGGTGGGGATAGAGTTGGAAACACTGACCTCGTATGACAGGCTGAAGTTGGGAAGCAAGAAGCTAGAGATGTATCAGGCACTGATGCAACACGTAGCCAGGGACAACTCAGGCTTGAGCCTGGCCAGAAGAAAGGATGCCACGTGTTTCTTGAGATGGATAATGTCGATGATGTCTGATAGCACCATCCTGGCATGCCAACAGAGAGCAAGCGCAAGCAAAACCATGGAAAAAAGAGTCTCAACGGTCATCTTGAACGTGTATCAGAGCACAGGAATAGAAAAGGAAGAGGGTTCCAGACTATCCCTAGAGAACCATAGGAAGCTAGACGAGGTACGGAGGTTTTATAATAAGAAGTTCGAAGAAGAACATGATGTTCACCGTAACCTGGCCTCGTCAGAGCAGTACTCGAGAATCAGCGAGAAGGGGGAATACCAATATGTGTCTGGAGTGATGGGAATGGCCTACAACCCCTTCTTAGACTCGGAAGCTGGAGGCGCCCACAGGAACCATGAGGTAGCGGAGCTACTGAAGTTTTGGACAGAAAGAATAATGGAAATAGACGCGGTGGAAAAAGAGGGGCCGAGCCTGGGCCTGATTCTTGAGAAAACACCAGAGGTGGTGAGCATACCACGTTCAGACAAGAGAGTTGAAGTGAACATGGGCGATGGAAATGGCTTGTTAACCACGAACTTGGGAGTGGTATGGAAACTATTAAGACCCTCCTGGTGTCCACATCCCCACGCGAGTCTGATCGAGGAAACCACCGAGCGAGTGAGGTTAGCACCAACGGAAGATGAAGATCTGGCAAAGTTGAGTGTGCTGCATAAGCTAATTTCACCTCAGATGCAAGAGCCAGGCGAAAAGACTAGTAATCCCGGGTCAGCAAAGAAATTGGAGCCGGGTAGCTGTCTGGATTCGACGTGTGGAAACGGAGAGCACACCTGCGATGGACGGTCATGCGTTAGAATACTGTCATTTCAAAAAGAAGACCTGGTCACCTGGTTCGAAGACATAACAGAAAGGGAGAAAAGTGAAGTGCAAATAGTAGCGTAGTGTTACGCGAGAACCACGGTGAATATAGCGACAGCTCTCGGATTCTTCTCGAGAATGTGTAATCTGCAGTCACTGGAAAGACTAGAATCTGAACATCATTTAGTGACGGCGTTGAGCGTAGAATCATGGCCCGGGGTGTTGCCGGTGACTCAAAAACACATCCGGAGCTGGAAGGTTGGTCTCGAGGCGGAAATGGGATTTCCCATGAGCGAAGCTTATGGCTTGCCATTGAACGCGAAATCGCTGATAGGGTCAATGATGGCCAACTTGTGCGGAAGTCATTACCCACTGCACATGGTGATGGTGGAAGCATCCAGCCAGAGAGTACTGGTGGACAAGGCCTTCTCAGTGCCCAAGTGCGTGAGGTTGGCTCGGATATCGAATCACTCGCACAAGTTGTTGAGAAAAATCAGAGGGACAGTACCAAAAGAATTGAGAGATGACTTGAGTGAAATCTGGGGAGAAGAACTTTTGAAGTTGGAGAGAGAGAACACAAGCGATCACGAGAGACAAAACGTGATCGGAAAACCTGTGGGAAGTGCTCCAAACCTGGAAGATAACGACACGATGCATGAGAAAATGATGGAGCTTGAGCCTCTCTTGGAAGCCTCGGGGGAGCGTAACCTCAGGAGCATTGAAATCACCCATGGAGAATGCCCATGCCACTGTTTAGCGCAAACGGTGTGGTATCCAGATCACAAGAACCTTTGCCTGGTGTGGGATATGGAAGAAATCCGGTCGATCGGACTACCGGATCACCGACAGAAGGTGACGATCTTGGTAGTGAGTACGATCTTGGCTCTGAGATGGATAAAAGAGAATATAACGAAGTATCGGGAAGCGGGGACGCCAACGGCAGAGTCAATATACGCGATAGACTACAGTAGGAGACTCGAGTTGTTTGAGACTGCGTGCAAGGTATTCGCCATACCAACGGAAGTCAGACATGTCTGGAGCCGTTTGAGGTACTTCCCATGGTTTCGGGCAACGCTGACGTCCTGGTTGTACATGACAACGAAAGATCACATGAGAAAACATCAAAAGGAGTATCGACAGTTCCAGGCCGAGATTGGGCCGGAAGTTTTCAAGAGACCCCTGTTAACCCATCGTAATGCAATCACGACAGGATGGAAGAGAGTGGGTAAGATGTCTAGAGACAATACCAAGGCGAGGGAATCGATACTAGAGGAGGACCTGGCGAAGAACGTGAGCTTGAGCCTGCACAACTCCTTTTGTTTGAACCGGGAATCTAGGGTGAAGGCACTACCCAACCAAGCAAAGAGGTTGCAAGAGCAAAGAGAATGGATGCGATCCTACGAACAGCTGAAGGCTTGGGAGGAGATTGTGATTAGCTCCGATGATGAAGAGGAACTGTTGAGACAGTTTGCCGTATCTAGTACTTCAGGGTGCAGTACCTCCAAGGCGAAGAGTGCGAGATGAGCAGGTGGCTCGAATGGATCTTGAGTCTTGAGAGGGAAAGGGGGGCTTGAGCGTGGGTCCGGGTGAAACCAGGATTCACGAAAAAGAAGTTTTAACCAAGCAAATATTGTTATTAATATACTATATTTATTATATAAATGGAAATACTGCATGACAATTTCCTGATTAAATGGGACAAAAGAAATTTTAAATGATTGGCTTAAAAAGCGAGAATTCGAGGGTGCAGGTGTGTGCAGATTTTGATTGCTGTTTAGCGATAGTGTGAAAATTTTACATGGCTGTGAATTTTGGGGTGTAGATAAGCTTAAGTCTGCTGCAAACTTCTGTAAATGACCACTGGCACTGTATCTTGAGTAACACTCGGTTTTCTGGGACTCACTGGCAGAAGACAGCACGCGATGAGGACATCGATCTCGAGTCCGGGGAGTATGTGCCAGTCGGTCATATTTGGAGGTTTGACCTTGAGAGAGACAAAAAAAACACTTGATTTAGGAGAGAAATTTAATTTTTCAAAATTTCGAATGGAGCATGTCATGCACGATTTTCTCGCGATAACTGAAAATCAGAAAAAAGAGAAGTCAGAACAATCGAGTAACAATCGCGGGAAAGTTGCTAAATAAAACGGTGGGAAATTGCTATTCGCAATTTCTGTCATAATAGAACAAGAGTAGAGCTGTCCCATCTAAAACAGAGACGAGAGCATTCCCACGAACTGGATTGTTGTGACTGGAGTACTATTATTAACTGGACCAGAGTGAACCTTCGGTGGAAAGGTGGACAGCTAGAGTGTCCCAATGGTTCACGAGAACTTACAGTCTAGAGTAAAAACTTGTTCTTATTATTAAAACTGACTAACGTTAAACTCATTTTACTTACTTTATTAATTCTTGAGTTGCTTACCGACTTATTTATTTCCTGGTTCTTGAGCGTGCTACAATGTGAGTACTTAATTTAAATTCCTAGAGTGTGTTTTATAATGGTCATGTTGAGGTAAGGCGAGTTTTAGGTTGATCCATCTGAAATGGATCAAGGTTCCACTGTCTAATAAAAAGTAACTTAACGGATTGTTCCAACCCGGTTTTTAACGGCGTTCATGTATTTTGGGTATCTAGAGACCTAAGTATGGGGACGTTTCTAATTCTAGAGTGGGGGATATTTTAGTAGTAGCCTTTAAGCTGTAACGGGTCGTAGTCTCATGTCACAAACGAACCGAACTGGCTCCGACCGTTCTTGAGGTAGAAAAACACAAGAGATGGTGTCCCTGACCCTTGAGCCAGGGGTTATAGGGCCTATTTTTCTTAAACCTCATGTGTGACTGCAGTAGACGAATGTTACACTTTGGTTTTAATGATCATTTCTGACCGTCTGATTTATCTATTTGATCAGCTGTCAGCCGTTTTTAAGCAACCGTCTTTTTTTACAGATCGCTCTGCTATGAACATGCTTTTTGCGTTGACAATTATACAAGGTGAGTTCATCCAATTGTGCCTCTTTATGCATAAAAAGATACTCCAGAAAGCGGAGCGCATTTACAAAACCTATTTTGTAAAGTTTACGATTGGTTTTGCCAGACATTCAACCCTAGGGTAAAAAACAGATTGAGGCTTGCTGCTGTTGACATTTTCAATCGATTTCAGAATAAAATATTTTTGTTGAACCGATCGAACGAAGTGTTTAGGAGTGTGGTTGGTTTCGCTTTGTGAGAAGGTAATGGTAAAATGGATGTCGTTCTGCATGTGTGAGTTGGTGTTTATTTATTGAGAATGAAATAGAGTGAGTGCGCGCTGTAGTTTAAATTATATCACGAGGTTGTACCACAAGGTCAGCGTTTAAGTTAATCTCACTGCCAATGCGAATACGGGCGACTATTGTCGAACGAAACTTGTTTTCTCGAAGAGTAGTTCGTACTTCATATTTGAGTTGTACAATTGATTATATACAACAATTTTTTTACGAATCACTTTCTAGGGGAAGCTAAAAGAAAAGAACCCTTTTCCCGGATTTCCATGGGAAAAGAATCCAGGAAAGTCGGAAGCGCCTGGAAACTACAGTGTGTCTCTCCGAAATACAAACAGAGTCTGTATCAAGGCTCACTTCACGATGACATTCGATATTGAGTATTTCGCGCGCAATCCAGCTACGAATAGGGTAATTGTTTAATATTTGCAGTATTTTCCTCGGATGCAGCAACTTTTTCTATATATACTTTTTCAATTAAAATTTTAGATGCCCCTGTTTTATATTAGATGCTCTGGTTCTTCATTTTCAACTGAGCCTGCACAATCAATTAAGATGATCCAATTCAGATTCAGTTATACATTTGTTCACACTTGCGAAGCGAGTGTTTTAGTACGAACCTTCTTTTTACCAACCTAAGTCGCAAATAAAAGTGCTACTTTTGGTGGCACTTTGAACGATAGGCTGCAGTAGCAGTATAATGTCATATTTGCTTTAACATTTGATTAGTAAAAAGTTAACACAGTTGATGCATATTAATTCATCAAATGAACCGGAAAAACGTTATTTGTTTCAAACAGCAGTACAATGATAAAAAGCTAGATTTCAGAAGTTTTCCAACTAATGTATCTCGCATTTTTTTGAAATGCATAATTTAGACAAATTTGACTTTTTGCTTTCCAATTTCATAAAAAAATTGTATTTTTGTATGTGGTGTCCCTTTTGCGGCATCGAGTTGGCTATTTGTTAGCATATATAGCTTCGTTATTAGTGGCTAAATTTTGGGAATTTAAGCATCCGTGGCTGAGTTCTTGCTTATTCTACACGTAGCCGAGTTTGTGCTTATTCGAGGCTTATTTCTACTTTTTCTTATTTTACTTGATAGAGCTGCTTTTTGGTCGTGTTCTCGCAAGTGTTTGCGAAGCGCAGCTTCGCCTCTGTTAGTATGCTGGGAATATACTTGCCCGCTGTATCAAAACCAAGATGAATCTCATTCTCAACTTGAATAATCTAAAAATCAGTTGTTTTGAAAGTCAAGGGCAATTTTTTTTAAAATGGAAGAAATGGAAAGAAATGAAATGAGCAAATTTTGGAGTCGATCTGCCTGCTTTTCTTTTGTCTTGCTTATTCTCTTATGTAGGACTATATTGAGCTGAAGAAGGGCGACATGCCTTCCAGCCCTTCGTTGATGAACCGAGTTGGAGGTAGGTGCATGAACCAAACCGAGTCGCCCTTCATCTTCTTCCAATGGGACGATGGCTACTACACTCTCAACATCTCCTTCCGGACGCTGCCTCAGGCAACGGGGGATCTGTGGTATGTGCACGAAGTGGTCTTCACTTATGGAATGAACAGTACTAAAGAGTTTCCAAATGTCGCCCATTCTAAAGACAGTAAGTTAGATCACTAACTGTTGTCTGACATAACTTGCGTTTCTAATTTGGGACCTTTGGCTGTTTTCGGCACCTTGTTGCCGAGTTTTTCGTAGCTGTCCACGAATATCGTCTCGAATGCAGTCACCACATTGTAAGCGCTTTTTCCAGTGTTAATGATTGAAGTGATTTATCACTTTTCTAGGTCATTTGTTTTCGCTTTTTTCAGGATTCTGTTTGCACATAATATGGATTTGTTTTTTTTTCGTTTCGATTAACCAGTTCAATTTTTGCGCAGTTCAGTAGCGGGATCTACTTAACAATCTCCCCCCCCCCCCTTATTGTATCTACCAAAGAATCTCCACCCCTGTAAATAAAAACACTAAATTCGCACTAGAGCGTTGTATATAAATTCGAAATTTGATGCATTCTGATTGGTCGGAATTTTGTTGCAAGTAATCTACTTAACAATATCCCCCCTTTCTTGTAAGGGGGGAATGGTTAAGTATATTCTGGTAGCGTGGCGTAGTTTGATGGTACGATGTAGTTTTTTTTCCAACCGAAGTCTCGAATATAAGTGTTATTTTGGTGGCAGTTCTGATTCTCTAGGCTGCTTAAGCAGTATAATAACATGTGATTAGTTTACATTTGATTAGTAATGTGTTAACACACTTGATGCTGTTTTATTCATCAATTGAACCGGAAAAAGCTATTTGCGTCATACAACATAATAATAATTGAAATCCCACTTCAAAATTTTTCCAACTCGATCTATTTCGCCAGATTTTTGGAATGCATGATTTATAACCAATTGGGTTAATATTCAAATCTCAACACTCATTTATTACATGTCTCAATTATATCAATCATTACACGTCTTATTAATCTCAATATTCAAATCTCTTTTATTACATGCAAAGTGTTTTGGCCTTTAGTTAATTACATCCCTAATTATTACAAGAAATTTTTGATTTTTTTGTGAATGTTAAAGTTTTTGTGCATCCGAGTCTTTTCCGCTTTCTCGCTCTGTCTAATTCATTTGTATATGAAAAATTTAGCTAAAAAACTGCTTTTTAAATATTTATCAATATCAAGACTTAGTCGCTCAATCAAATGAGTTTTTGCGTTTAATATAGCATACTTTTGACGGAAGCCATATTACGTGCATAGAGCTAGGCATAATTTTCAAGATGTTTGTATCATTTAATGTGCATTACCTTTTTACACTCGCGAAGCAATGTGTTATAGTAGGAACTTGCTTTTTTTCCAACCTAAAATGCAAGTATTGTTGAGACTCAAAGCAACAATATTTGCTGCATCAAATTGGCAATTCAAAATGATAGGCAATTTGTTGCACTTTTACAGCTCATTGATAACATGTGCTTTGACATTCGAATAGTTATAAGTTTATACAGTTAATGCATTTTTAATTCATCAAGTGAACCAAAGAAAGCTATTCGTCTCAAACATCATAATACTAAAATCTCGATTTTCTGACTCAATATATCTCGCAGCTTTTGGAAATGCATAATTTATTTTTAATGATTTTTTAAAAAAAGTTTTCAATAAAACTTAAATTTTAAAAAGATCTAAAACTTTGAAGATCTCAATCCTGTTGTTGGAAACTGTAAGGGTACTCTCAGGGTTGGGAATCTTGCCTCTGAATATGACTGCTCAAATCTTTGTAGTTTTCGAGATATGACGTTTTTTAAGGATTTTTTCAAAATTTTTAACTTAGAGAACTTAGATATATATAAAAAAAATTACACAAAATTTGAAGTTCCGATCTCTACAGCGAGGTTTTGTCAGTGTACTCTCAGGAGTTGCGAATTTGGCCTCCAAAAAGGACTGCCCAAAACCCGGTAGTTTTTCAGGTATGACGTTTTTGTGATTAAAAAAAATCAGAAAATTTAAATTCAAGTTTTTTCATAAATATTCGAAGTTTCCTTCTAAAACTGTCTGATGGCTATGTGCATTACTTGGCATCATTTGTTGATCAAAAAAAATTCAAAACTACAAGTTTTTTCATTGTACGCGTTTTAATTTTTGCTAATTGTTTTGTGACAACAGTTTTTTTTTACTCTTTAATTCCATATTAAAACTTAAACTTCAATTAAATTACAACGAAACATATATAATACACATATATAAAACACACGAAACAAAATATATCAAGGCTTTTGTCCCATTAATTACAAATGGTTGTATCGATTCTCTGAGCAGATGATTGAATTGTTAAGCGGATGGGTGTTTCAACCTGTGAAATGAAAAGGGGCTCTTGCTGGTTTCTATTCATCGCAAAGAGGGAAATCCTTTTTCTATGAACAATGCCTGAAAAGTAAAATTGTTCAAATTTACACATTGCAGCTTGTTTTAACTAAAGTGGGTATAAGAACACGGTAACGATGAGTGCGATTGAATTAGTGTATGAAAAAGAGTGAAATTGGGATGTCGCGAGCTGCTTGATTTAACCAACATAATTTCGGTATTCCATGCTGGTGTATTTTCATGGCTGAGCCACATGGCAATTATGCAAAGAATGCGGTAAGTCTGTAATTGCGAGACAAGGTAACTGATAGCTGAAAACACTAAAAAATGAGCATTCGCAAAGGACAAATAACTTACCCTTTCTTGATAAAAAAGACCCGTTGCAGGATATTATCAGTCTTTAATTCGGAATTGTCTTTCGGATTTTTCTGAGTATTGGCGCCGTTATATATGAATGTTGAGGGGGGAGCGCGCGCCGAAAAATGATTTTTTGGTCAAAATTTTACAAAAAGTGACTAAAATCGCACTTTTTGGGTTTTTTACAAAATTTTGCATGCGGCGCGGAAAAAAATGATCAAAAATTAGGTCACCAAAAAGCTACGTCACTTTTTTCTCTGATCGATTTGAGCAGCCTCGATTGGTTTAATTTTTTATACTTGCAGTAGCAAGTGTTGCAACCGGGCACTAGACTTATATTCGGTAAATAACTTTGTTCACAGGACCTATTTCACGGCCCTGTCTTTTAACAATTGCGAGCGTAGTGTATTCGTACGAACCTTCTTTTTCCAAGCTAACTCGCAAATAAAAGTGTTCATCGAAAGTGGAAAGTGTTCAATAATTTGGCTCCACTTTTGCTATAATCACGATCTGTTGAATTGGAATTTTTATTGCATCAGTTCTCTGCTTTATTTGTGGCTAGTGTTTGAGAATTGTTCAACCTCCGTGGCTGAGTGGTTTTTCATAAACCTATATTTATAATTCTCTGTACAAATCTCATTCATAATCTCTTGGTCGATAAAAGTTTTCCAATATATTTGTCAATTGATAGAAATTTTACGTCGAATTCGTTCAAATTTTCATTTTCTTTATATTTTAATTTCTTTTGTTAATGTTTTGACTATCAGAACTAATGAAGTCGTTAATGTTTGTTTTTTTTTGGGAAACTTTGATCACCAATCTTTTTCAAGTGATCCATCAAAATCCATTCCACTCTGTGATGATAACTGTTGAGTGACACCTGATTTTATACTTTCGTTCTTCTGAGTTTATTGAGTTTCAAAAACCGTCTGAAAGCTGATTCAAAGCTCGTTCTCATCAGAAAGCTGGTTCTGATCAGTTAGGGTAGGCCGATTTTTTTTGTTCAGATAGCTTTTCTTAAAATTTTTCCTCCTAATTAAAAATGTTTTCACTTTATTCTAGACATCGAATTAGTTACTTTTTATCCAAATCTATTTAGATTGCTTTTGTTAGAATAAGTTTGTGATGTTAATCCAAAGCTGCCTGAAAACTGATTTATATAACTTCTGATCATAAAAGATAATAAGGTTTTTTGTTCATCATTTGGTGTTTTTTTTTCAATCTCTGCGCACCTGTCGATTGTTTTTTTTTCCTCTTTTTCCGAAAAAATGACTGTCACTGGTTGATTACAGAACGTGTTTTGTGATTTTATGCTATGCTGCTAGGTTTGATTGAATTCATAGCAAGGTTCGATAAAAGAGTTCTTACATATTTGTCAAGTGATAGAAGTGTTACGTCAGTTTTGTTCAAATTGTTGATTTTTTGCTGAATTTTTTGATTTTATCTGCTGAATTGCTGGTTTTGTCATTGAAAATTGTTTTGACAATGAAATTGCGTTCCATGCTGTGATGATAATTGTTGATTGACTCCTGATTTTTCACTTTCATTCTTCTGAGTTTATTGAGTTTCAAAAACTGTCTGAAAGCTGATTAAATTATTTTCTGGTCAATTAGGGTAATCCGATTTTTTGCTTCCGATAGTTTTTTAAATTTTGCCTCCTAATTCAAAATGTTTTCACTGTATTCTACGTTACGAATTAGTTACTTTTTATCCAAATCTATTTAGATTGCTTTTGTTAGTATAAGTTTGTGATGTTTACCCAAAGCTGTCTGAAAACTGATCTGGATATTTTCTGATCGTAAAGGTTAATAAGGTTTTTTGTTCATCAATCGGTGCTTTATTTAAATCTCAGCGCACCTGTTCGATTGTTTTTTTTTCACCTTGGTCCGAAAAAATGACTGTCATTGGTTGATAACAGAACATGTTTTTGTGAACTTTTTTGCCAATTGATTCTAGTATGCTATGCTGCTAGGTTTGAACGAATTCATAGCAAGGTTCGATAAAATAGTTCCTACAGATTTGCCAATTGATGGAATTTCTACATCAGTTTTGTTCAAATTGTTGATTTTTTGCTGAATTTTTTGATTTTATCTGCTGAATTGCTGGTTTTGTCATTGAAAATTGTTTTGACAATGAAATTGCGTTCCATGCTGTGATGATAATTGTTGAGTGACTCCTGATTTTTCACTTTCGTTCTTCTGAGTTTATTGAGTTTCAAAAAGGGTAAACCATTTTTTTTTGAGATAGCTTTTTTAAAATTTTGCCTCCTAATTAAAAACGTTTTCACTTTCTTCTACATTTCGAATTAGTTATTTTTTATTCAAATCTATTTAGATTGCTTTTTTTAGAATAAGTTTGTGATGTTTATCCAAAGCTGTCTGAAGACTGATTTAAAC